TTTTTGGTTTTCGACTGGCATTTTTTCAGTTTCTTGATTTGCAAATTTTTGTATTATACGTTATTTCAGCCGTTTTTCGATTTTTTGCTTCTTCAATTTCTACGTATTTCAATTGTTCGTTTTTTTTTTATTTCTCAGTTTCGGACATTTTAATTTTCCGATTTTTCAATTCTCCAATTTTTCGTCTTGTAACTTTTCGAAATCCAGCTTTCGGTTTTTTGATTTTTCCAAATTTAGACACTCTAATTTTTCATTTTGTCGATTTATCAATTTTTCGTTCCGTATAAATGTTCGATCTTACAATATTTCCAGTGTTCGGTCCTAAATATTTCTTTTTTCACATTTTTAATTTTACAGTTTTTCGATTATTGATATTTCTAATTTGTAATGATACGTTTCTTCATTACGTATTTCGATATTTAATTTTTGGGTTTGTAATTTTTGCAAATTTTTCGTGTTTTCAATTTTTCTATTTTATAATATTTCGACATTAATTTTTTCAACTTGTTGGTCTTGCAATTTTTAGACATTTTAATCTTTCGTTTGAACAAATTTTCAGTTACTTGATTTTTCAATTTTTAGTTTTCGATTGGAAATTTTTTGGTGTTTCAATTTGCAAATTTTTATATTTACGTTTCAACTATTAAATTTTTCGATTTTTCGCTTCTTCAATCTTTGTTTTTTTATTTTTTCGATTTTTTAGTTCCGCACTTTTTGATTTTCCGATTTTTCAATCCTTCAGTCTTTCGAAATCCAGTTCTCAGTTTTAATATTTTTGGATTTTTCAATATTTACATATTTTAATATTTTATTTTGCAAATTTTTCGATTTTTCGTTCCTGCAATTTGTCGATTGCAATATTTAGATTTTACGGTTTTTCGGTATTACAATTTTTCAATTTGTAATTTTTGGGGTTTTCAATTTAAAATTTTCCAATTTTTGGATTTTTCAACTTTCGGAATTTTTAATTTTTTCGTGTGTTTAATATTTGATTTTACAATTTTTCAAGTTTTCGATGTTTCAACTTTTGAATTTTTCGATTTTATCGCTTCCTCCGTTTTGAGAAATTTGCATTTTTAGTTTTTTCTTCAATTTTGGAATATTTCAATTTTTAAAATATCAGTCTCTAAAAATTAAAAAAGGGAAAATTTTACGAATTGAAAAATTCAGAAAAAAAAGTGAAAAAAGAAAAATTGAAAAACCGAAAAATTGCAGATCCAAAAATCGGAAACTGAGAAATCAAAAAAATGAAATAAACGAAAAATTGAAATACTTAAAAATTGGAGACGCAAAAAATCGAATTCAATAGTTGGAAAAACGTAAAATATAAACTTTACAATTCGAAAAACTGAAAAATCGCCAGTCGAAAATGAAAAATTCAAAACTCAAGAAACTGAAAACTCAAGAAACAGAAAAATTGAAAAAATTAAAGTCGAAAAAAAATTGTAAAATCGAAAAACTGAAGAAATGAAATTGGAAAAATTAAAAATTAAAAAATTAAATGCCGAAATGTATTTCGATTTGCAAATTTTTGTGTTTTACGTTTATCAACTAGTGAATTATTCGATATTTTGCTTCGTCTATTTTTCGTTTTTGATCATTTTTTGGATTACTTAGTTTCGCAATTTTTAATTTTCGACTTTTCAATTCTTCAATTTTTCGAATTTTCAATATTTAGATATTTTAATTTTTCATTTGTCTATTTTTCGATTTTTCGTTCTTGTAGTTTGTCGATTGTAATTTTGAGATTTCTTCATGTTATTAGTTTTTCCAGTTTTTCGATTTTTTATATTTCTAATGTCTAATGATTCGTTTCTTCTTTACATATTTCGGTATTGAAATTTTTGATTTGTTATTTTTGCAATTTTTCGATTTTACAATATTTATTTCGAGTTTTCGACTTTATTTTTTCAAATTTTCGGTCTTCCAATTTTTAGATATTTTAATGTTTCGTTTTATTTTAATTTTTCTGCTTCTTGAGCTTAAAGTTTCTCGATTGTTCAATTTGTGGTTTTCGGCTGGCATTTTTTCAGTTTCTTGATTTGCAAATTTTTGTATTATACGTTATTTCAGCCATTTTTCGATTTTTTGCTTCTTTAATTTTTACGTATTTCAATTGTTCGTTTTTTTTTCTATTTCTCAGTTTCGGACATTTTAGTTTTCCGATTTTTCAATTCTCCAATTTTTCGTCTTGTAACTTTTCGAAATCCAGCTTTCGGTTTTTTGATTTTTCCAAATTTAGACACTCTAATTTTTCATTTTGTCGATTTTTCAATTTTTCGTTCCGTGTAAATGTTCGATCTTACAATATTTCGAGTGTCCGGTCCTAAATATTTCTTTTTTCACATTTTTAATTTTACAGTTTTTCGATTATTGATATTTCTAATTTGTAATGATACGTTTCTTCATTACGTATTTCGATATTTAACTTTTGGGTTTGTAATTTTTGCAAATTTTTCGTGTTTTAAATTTTTCTATTTTATAATATTTCGACTTTAATTTTTTCAACTTGTTGGTCTTGCAATTTTTAGACATTTTAATCTTTCGTTTGAACAAATTTTCAGTTACTTGATTTTTCAATTTTTAGTTTTCGATTGGAAATTTTTTGGTGTTTCAATTTGCAAATTTTTATATTTACGTTTCAACTATTAAATTTTTCGATTTTTCGCTTCTTCAATTTTTAAGTATTTCAATTTTTTTTTTTTATTTTTTCGATTTTTAGTTCCGCACTTTTTGATTTTCCGATTTTTCAATCCTTCAGTCTTTCGAAATCCAATTCTCAGTTTTTAGGATTTTTGGATTTTTCAATATTTAGATATTTTAATTTTGTTATTTTGGAAATTTTTCGATTTTTCGTTCCTGCAATTTGTCGATTGCAATATTTAAATTTTATGATATTTGGGTATTACAATTTTTCAATTTGTAATTTTTCGAGTTTCTAATTTAAAATTTTACAATTTTCTGATTTTTCAACTTTCGGAATTTTTCACTTTTTCGTGTGTTTAATATTTTGATCGATAAGTTTTCGATGTTTCAACTTTTGAATTTTTCGATTTTATCGCTTCCTCGGTTTTGAGAAATTTGCATTTTTAGTTTTTTCTTCAATTTTGGAATATTTCAATTTTCAGTTTTTCCTTTCTTTAACATTTCGATTTTTACTTTTTGCAATTTTTCAATAATTCACGGGAATTCGTAAACTTTACCTTTACTCTTTAATATTTATAACATATCAATAAAATATTAAAATCTTTAATAGCTACAAATTATGTCACTAAAATGGTAAATATAATCATACTATAAAAATCCGGTGTCCACAAGCTTCAGATGTTGGTGATATAATCAGTTATAATATATTAAGTGCATCGCAATGTTATCGATAATTTTGAGCAACAATAACTCGAATGCTTGTTGCATTGAAAACGCACGAGTGCTTTAGCACGAGTGCATTTTTCTTAGGCAACAAGCATGAGAGATTATTGTTGTTCAAAATTATCGATTTCATTGTGATGCACGCAATATATTCAACAGATTATTGCAAGAACAAACATTTTAAAAATAATTTTATAATGATTTACGAAGTAGTTTGGTGTGCGATACTATGGCGACGCAAGTAAATAAGAACAGCCATTTTGCAAAATTTGTGTGGGTTTAAAAAACCATGTCCAATTTTCGTTTTGGTCGTAACACGCCAAAAGAAATTGATGATTCTATTACAAACATTACGCCGCTAAATACGAAGAACTCACGAAATTCAATCTGGAGGCAATTTGAGAAGTTTTGCGGTGAACGCAAATATGTTTTTGATGGAAACACTTCCACGGAAAAACTAGCATTCATCCTCAAAGATTGGGGGTACAATATGAAAAAAGTCGATGGTAATGACTACAAAGAAGCAGTAATAAAAACGATGTGGAATGTAACGGCAAAGCAGTTGCAAGAACTGTATTTCAATAAATTTGGTATAAAGTTTGATCCTTTTGTTGACCTGGAATTCAAGGGTAGTAGAAATGCACGCGACGCAAAACGCCGGAACCTACAAATACAACCGGAAAAACGCAAAACTAGTTCCTCAATTTTGACTCTAGAAGAATACAACAAGATTCTAAAGATTTATAACGAAGACACGCCAGATGGTTTACAGAAAATGTTTTTTTATGTGGCTGGATTAGAATTAGCTTGGAGGGGATGTGAAGGTGTTAACGTTACTATCAAACATTTTAAGGAAGAAAGTGATAATTGTGGTTTGCCTACGGGGCGAATAGAATACAATTGTATTTTTTCCAAAACAGCTCAAGGAGGTAGCCATAAATTAACAGACAGCAAATGGCTTGCAACAAACACCACAGATCCTAGAATTTGCCCTGTTAGGTAATTAAATACTGTTTCAAATACAAAATAATAATTATTTTATTATTTAAGGCTCTACAAAAAAATGCTGAGCAAGAGAGGTAAACATATAACCACCGATCGTTTATTTTTAACGCCAAATCCTGCATGGAGAGAACCTAGTTCTGTAGGATGGTTCAAAAATTCACCCGTTGGAAGGAATGAAATGGGGAAATGGACAAGAACCGCCGCAGAAGAAATAGGCATCGACATAAAGAAAAAGAAGATTAGTAATCATTCATTACGGTCAACTGCAGTGTCGCAACTTGCAAAAGCGGGAGTCGGTGAAGAACAGCTTATAAAGATTACCGGTCATGCCAATACTTTCTCCATCAAACCATACCTTCAGCTCGATGGAGATCATCATTATCAAATGATTGACAAATTACGCGCCAACTCAACGGCTATGGAAGAGTCTAATAACAAATCCACAAATTGCGCACCGTCTGCTTTGGTACAAATGTCTAAAAATATAGTTACTACTTCACCAAGCACACAAACCCCTGTAAATTACTACAACTGTACCATAATTAATTACAATTCTTAGTTTCATAATTAAATATTTGGTTAGTAACCTCTTGTTTTTTTTTGCAATTAACTGGTACTTGCTTATCTTATAGTTGGCACATCTGGCTAGTGATAATTATCGGTAGTGGTAATTGCACAGTGTGCAATTATCACGTAATTGTATGCTGATTGGTTGAATTTACAAATATTGACGCGTTTGATTGGTCAGTTGACATCATGTGACATGTGAGTGCAATAATCAATGTAATTTCTAAAATACTGCACTTTCAGATAAACCCCAGGTTTATGAGGAGCTCCACATCCATCTCCCCACGACGTGACCCCAATTAGAACCCCATTACTAACAAACGGACCTCCAGAATCACCCTTCAAAACACCAAATTACAAACAAACCAAATCACAGTTACTTTATACCTGACAAGCATCCTTTCCCCCTTCCACATACCCAGCACAAAACATCCTCTTTGTTACAGTGTCATTATACTCCCGCCTACAAGCACTAGGGCTAAGTGTTGGCAAGTCCAGTTCATTCAGTTCAAGGGGTCGAATACCATAGAGCGACAACCTTCCCCACCCCGTGACCGTCCCAACGATACCTCCAGGGATATCAGCTTCACTCTGTGACGGTAAAACTGCAACTGCTACCTTATCGCCAAACTTCAAGCTTTTTTTCAACTTCAAAATCGAGATATCGTAGTCGTAGGTATCTGGGTCGAAATTTTCGTGCTGGTAATATTTTTCCACTTGTATCAGCTGCCCGCCGCCGTCCACCCGCGTCGATCCGGCTCTTACAAAAAGATCTTGGGCTGCAACTCTTTCGTTTGTTTGTTGAAAGTTGAACTAGATTTTGCGGTAAACTTACTTGTTAGTGCAATGAGCTGCTGTTAATACATAGTTGGACTTTAAGATGGTACCGCCAGCGTGGTAGGTGTCGATTTTGATGATAGACACTTGGAAAGGGTGTTTTTGGATGGTGGTTGGTCGACCACCAACAAGTCGACCTTCTGGTACACGTTTGCTTGCTTGTACACCTATGAAATATATTTGTACTCATAATGACACGATTATCAATTGTTGAAGCTAGTAGATTGTCATCAATAAATATGAAGTGATAATGAATATGTGAGGTTAGCCAAAAGATCTTTTAAATTGAAACACTCAGTATATATTTTAACATCATGTCTGAAAATTAAAATAGATTGACACTAGTGTTTCTTTTATTTTCCTTTTAATAGACTAGCATAATCCCCTGACATACGAGTATTTTCGTCCCAAAAACTTTGATACCTTTTTTTTAACCATATTTTAGGTATTACAATTTTACCACAAAAGTAACAAAACGGGTTTGCACTTACCTGGCACGATCTCGAAGACATTTTTTTATGCAACAATGGTACATTACCATGAATTAGTTTAACACGTACGTGAAGGTAAAAGTAAACTTAATTATTTTGGATTTATGAAAAAACCTGACGTGATAAGGATTATCCGTTCTTGCATTTGATATCATAAGTAATTTAGAAGTAAAAAATAATGTTTTTTTTTTTTGGATATGAAAAAAGGTTTAAATTTGTAAACTAGTGATAATTTACTTACCTGCGAGAAGGACCGTAAGGACCCAAAAACACACACCATCCATTTTTCCAAATCAAGATTGCTCCCACAATGCACTCCTTGATGTCAAGAATGCTAGACTCAACACTGCTGATGCGAACAGGTTGTATTTATATAGGTCTCTTTAATTTCACCTGTTTTGGATAATTCCTGTATTCGGAAATAACTAGTCGCAAATCTTGCAACCTTTGCTCGATCAATAATTCCAACCATAATAATTAGCGTAAATATTTATTGTCTGTTAATCAATTCGGTGGATATAAGTAAACAAAAACCAAAATTAGCTGTAATCCTGAAGGATTAAAACATAATTTATGGCTACGTTTTCACGTGAGGGAAATATTTCCGAAAGTAGTTCGTCAAATCGTAGTGGGGCGAAAGCGACTCTCGACGGTACAAAATCAAAATCAGGATACAAGTGAGTTACTCTCAAGTGAAGACCGTCCAGTACTAAAAGCCATTATCCTGTTTCCATGATTAATAATTTTGCCAAAATATTCGAGTTCTTAGTTTACGACCAACTTAATTCTCGGATTAGACATATATTTTATATTACCCCCACCAACACGGTTTGATGCATGGCAAATACTCAACCACAAATCCCTTTGGCCTTACTCAGTTTATTGCCGATTCCATTGCTGATGGTTGTCAAACGATGTAATTCTGCTGTCTCGATTTATAAACTCAGTGATACCGGTTTTTGTCCTGGGCTTATTAAACTCTTCACGTCATAGTTGCGTCTAAGGAAACAGTTTGTAGATTGTTTTGGTTATAATTCAGGCGACTTCTATGTCGATACTGGAATGCCGCAGGGTTTAGTCTTGAAACCTCTTTTGTTTGTTCGTTTTGCAAATGATATTGTTTTCCAGTTAAATGTTTAATTTAAAAATTCGTGCATTTTGAATATAAAATAAAGAATAACCAGAAACTTGGTCGAAGGATGTATTAGTGGAGAAATTTCGGTTTTTTCACAACAAAATCCACAAGTTGGACCAATGTGTTTCACTTAAATTTGCAATCTGTAAGGAGTAAGTTAATAGAACCCGACTTAAATTTAAATTCAATTAACAAAGCAAATGGCGGTCTATGTTTGATCGAACGTTATTTAAATGAAGAAGAAATAAACGACTCGTGTTTAAGTAATTATAAAATGAGTATATAATTTTGTAGAAAGAAGTCTGTTCACAGAGGACTAAGTTCCTACAATTTTGGTTATGTAATTAATAAAAATACAAGACTTAACAACTGTATCCATAACATTGTGACTAATCTTGAAAGTATTTATCAAGCGGAGGTGCCAGAGCCAACTTATCCGACCATAAAGCTGTCACAGTAAAAATAGACCTAGAAATAGCAGCTAAAGTTGAGACCAAAATTAAAGTGCGGAAATTCACAGTTGTCAATTTTGATGAGTTTTTATTGCGCCTAAAAAACCAGTGAGAATATGGTAACTCTTGAATTAGTGCCCAAAATTTCAATTTTTCATCAGGTATGGCAGTAAATTTTAAAGGACGAGAATTTTTTAGTTAATATTAACTGTATACATGTTATTATCACTAAAAATGTTCCTGTTTTGAACATTTTCTGTGTAGGATTAACTTGTCATTAAATTCAACTGTTACAACAATGCGACATTCCAACCGATAGGAAAATTGTTTCCTGGGACGCTTAGTATTGTTTGCGTCGTAATATATATCACTCTTGTCAGAACCTCTTGTGCCGAAAATCTTTTTATGATTTTCTTATCTTCCTTCAACTGAAAACACTTATTAAAGGCATTCAAGTTTCAAAAATTCTGTAAATAATGTCTCAAAATTTGAAGGATTTCATCTAAAACATCACCACGATAAATGTCAACGACTTTGGTCTCAAACAAATTTTATTTAGAACTAAGTTTGGTCTGATCGTGGGATAAGTACAGGTGATCCATTTGCAAAGCGGAAAAAAATCTGTTAAAACTAAATGAGTTATTACGCACTTCAAAATTTATAGACTTACAATTTTTCAAGTTTTCGACTTTAAATTTTTAGTTTTTGATTTTTCGCTTTCAGTTTTTTGGTTTTATTCATTTTGACATTTTTAAATTTTCCGATTTTTTTCTGTATCTCGATTTTTAATTTTCTAATATTTTTTCCAATTTTTCGAAGTTTCATGTACTAAATTTTTGATTGACAATTTTTCGGTTTGTCGTTCCTGCAGTTTGTCGATTGCAATTTTAAGATTTTATGACATTTCGGTCTTACAATTTTTCGCTTGTCAATTTTCATTTGTTATTGATTGATTGTAATTCTTCGTATTTTCAATTTTTAGTTTTTAATAATTTTAAATTCTAGTTTCGAGTTTTTGGTTTAAAATTTGTCTTTTTCCATTTTTTCGATTTTAATTTTTCTAATTTCTAATGATTTGTTTCTTCATTACATATTTCGGTATTTAATGTTTTGATTTTTAATTTTTGCAATTAATCGTTTCTTCAATTTTTCAATTTTACAATATTTCGAGCGCTCGACTTTCATTTGTTCAACTTCTCGGTCTTCCAATTTTTAAATATTTTAATGTTTCGTTTTATCAATTTTTCAATTTCTTGATTTTTAAATTTTTCGTTTTCGACTGGCAATTTTTAACTTTTTTAATTTGCAAATTTTTGTATTTTATGTTATTTCGACTATTGAATTTTCCGATTTTTCAATTCTTCAATTTTTCGAAATCCAGTTCTTCCATTTTAGAATTTTTAAAATTTTCAATATTTAGATATTTAAATTTTTTATTTTTCGAGTTTTCGACTTTAAATTTTTGGTTTTTGATTTTTCGTTGTTTCAGTTTTCTCGTTTTATTAATTTTTAAATTTTCCGATTTTTTCTGTTTCTCGATTTTTAATTTTCCGTTTGTCAACTACTGAATTCTCCAATTTTTGCGTCTTGAGTTTTTAATTTTTTTCATTTTTTCGTTTCCCAGTTTCGCATTTTTTAGTTTTCAACTTTTCAATTCTTCAATTTTTCGATTTTTCAATATTTAGATATTTTAATTTTTCATTTTTTAATTTTTCGATTTTTCGTTCCTGCATTTTGTCGATCGCAATTTCTAGATTTTACCACGTTTCGGTCTTACAATTTTTCTACTTGTCAAACTTCAATTGTTATTGATTGCATTCATCGTATTATCGTTTTTTGATTTTAGAGTTTTTCAATCGTTAATTTTACGATTTTTCAATATTTAGTTTTTATAATTTTTAAATCCTACAATTTTTCGAGTTTTCGATTTTAAATTTTTCTTTTTTCATCTTTTTAATTTTTTCAGTTTTTCGATTTTTAATTTTTCTAATTTCTAATGATTTGTTTCTTCATTACATATTTCGGCATTTAATTTTTTGATTTTAAATTTTTGCAATTTTTCGTTTCTTCAATTTTTCAATTTTATAATATTTCGAGCATTCGATTTTCATTTTTTCAACTTTCCGGTCTTTCAATTTTTAGATATTTTAGTGCTTCGTTTTATCAATTTTTCAATTTCTTGAGTTTTCAGTTTCTTGATTTTTAAATTTTTCGTTTGCGACTGGCAATTTTTCACTTTTTTAATTTGCAAATTTTTGAATTTTACGTTTCTTCAATTATTAATTTTTTCGATTTTCGCTTATTCAATTTTCAAGAATTTCATTTTTTTTTTATTTTTTCGATTTTTCAGTTCCGCACTTTTTAATTTTCCGTTTTTCAATTCTTAAAAAAAAATTAAAATACTGAATAAGCGAAAATAAAAAAAATTAATAATTGAAGAAACAATTCATTAGAATATGGAAAAATTAAAAATCGAAAAACTGAAAAAATTAAAAAGTTGAAAAAAGAAAAATTTAAAGCCGAAAACTCGAAAAATTGTAGGATTTAAAAATTATAAAAACTAAATATTGAAAAATCGGAAAATTAAAGATTGAAAAACTCTAAAATCAAAAAACGATGATACGATGAATTCCAATCAATAACAATTGAAGTTTGACAACTAGAAAAATTGTAAGACCGAAACGTCGTAACATCTAGAAATTGCAATCGACAAACTGCAGGAACGAAAAATCGAAAAATTGACAAAATAAAAAATTAAAATATCTAAATATTGAAAAATCCAAAAATTGAAATTAGAAAAATTGAAGAAGCGAAAAATCGAAGAATTCAGTAGTTGACAAACGCAAATTATAAAAATTTGCAAATCGAAAAACCGAAAAATTGCCAATCGAAAATTTAGTACATGAAACTTCGAACAAATGAAAAAAAATATCGGAAAATTAAAAATCGAGAAACAGAAAAAATCGGAAAATTTAAAAATTAATAAAATGAAAAAACTGAAACAGCGAAAAATCAAAAACTAAATAATAATAATAATAATAATAATATTAATATAATTGATTGTCCAACAGAACAAATATTCCACTTACTGGACAATTTCTAATTAAACAAAATAAAAATAAAAGAAAACAAAAATAGTAATATATACCAAAAAATAAAAATAAAAATCACGTTTAGCATACCAAATAAAAAGAAAAGTAAAGTAAATTACATTCAATAAATAAAAATTTAAAGTCGAAAACTCGAAAAGTAAAAAATTAAAATATCTAAATATTGAAAAATCCAAAAATTGAAATTAGAAAAACTGAAGAATTGAAAAGTTGAAAACTAAAAAATGCGAAACTGGGAAACGAAAAAATGAAAAAAACAAAAAATTGAGAAGCGAAAAATCGAAGAATTCAGTATTTGACAAACGCAAAATATAAAAATTTGCAAATTGAAAAATCGAAAAATTGTCAATCGAAAATTTAGTACATGAAACTTCGAACAATTGAAAAAGAATATCGAAAAATTAAAAATCGAGAAATAGAAAAAATCGGAAAATTAAAAAATTAATAAAACGAAAAAACTGAAACAGTGAAAAATCAAAAACTAAAAAATGAAAAAAACGAAAAATTGAAGAAGCGAAAAATCGAAGAATTCAGTAGTTGATAAACGCAAAATATAAAAATTTGCAAATTGAAAAACCGAAAAATTGTCAATCGAAAATTTAGTAGGTACATGAAACTTGGAACAATTGAAAAAAAATATCGGAAAATTAAAAATCGAGAAACAGAAAAAATCGGAAAATTTAAAAATTAATAAAACGAAAAAACTGAAACAGCGAAAAATCAAATACTAAAAATTTAAAGTCGAAAACTCGAAAAGTAAAAAATTAAAATATCTAAATATTGAAAAATTCAAAAATTGAAATTAGAAAAACTGAAAAATTGAAAAGTTGAAAACTAATAAATGTGAAACTGGGAAACGAAAAAATGAAAAAAACGAAAAATTGAAGAAGCGAGAAATCGAAGAATTCAGTAGTTGACAAAGGCAAATTATAAAAATTTGCAAATCGAAAAACCGAAAAATTGCCAATCGAAAATTTAGTACATGAAACTTCGAACAATTGAAAAAAAATATCGGAAAATTAAAAATCGAGAAACAGAAAAAATCGGAAAATTTAAAAATTAATAAAATGAAAAACTGAAACAGCGAAATATCAAAAACTAAATAATAATAATAATAATATTAATATAATTTATTGTCCAACAGAACAAATATTCCACTTACTGGACAATTTCCAATTAAACAAAATAAAAATAAAAGAAAACAAAAATAGTAATATATACCAAAAAATAAAAATAAAAATCACGTTTAGCATACCAAATAAAAAGAAAAGTAAAGTAAAGTAAATTACATTCAATAAATAAAAATTTAAAGTCGAAAACTCGAAAAGTAAAAAATTAAAATATCTAAATATTGAAAAATCCAAAAATTGAAATTAGAAAAACTGAAGAATTGAAAAGTTGAAAACTAAAAAATGCGAAACTGGGAAACGAAAAAATGAGAAAAACAAAAAATTGAGAAGCGAAAAATCGAAGAATTCAGTATTTGACAAACGCAAAATATAAAAATTTGCAAATTGAAAAATCGAAAAATTGTCAATGGAAAATTTAGTACATGAAACTTCGAACAATTGAAAAAGAATATCGAAAAATTAAAAATCGAGAAATAGAAAAAATCGGAAAATTTAAAAATTAATAAAACGAAAAAACTGAAACAGCGAAAAATCAAAAACTAAAAAATGAAAAAAACGAAAAATTGAAGAAGCGAAAAATCGAAGAATTCAGTAGTTGATAAACGCAAAATATAAAAATTTGCAAATTGAAAAACCGAAAAATTGTCAATCGAAAATTTAGTAGGTACATGAAACTTGGAACAATTGAAAAAAAATATCGGAAAATTAAAAATCGAGAAACAGAAAAAATCGGAAAATTTAAAAATTAATAAAACGAAAAAACTGAAACAGCGAAAAATCAAATACTAAAAATTTAAAGTCGAAAACTCGAAAAGTAAAAAATTAAAATATCTAAATATTGAAAAATTCAAAAATTGAAATTAGAAAAACTGAAGAATTGAAAAGTTGAAAACTAAAAAATGCGAAACTGGGAAACGAAAAAATGAAAAAAACGAAAAATTGAAGAAGCGAAAAATCGAAGAATTCAGTAGTTGACAAACGCAAAATATGAAAATTTGCAAATCGAAAAACCGAAAAATTGTCAATCGAAAATTTAGTACATGAAACTTTGAAAAATTGAAAAAAAATATCGGAAAATTAAAAATCGAAAAACTGAAAAAAATCGGAAAATTTAAAAATTAATAAAACGAAAAAACTCAAACAGCGAAAAATCAAAAACTAAAAATTTAAAGTCGAAAATATCGAAAAATAAAAAATTAAAATATCTAGATATTGAAAAATTCACACATTCTAAAAACTGAGAATTGGATTTCGAAAAATTGAAGAATTGAAAAATCGGAAAATTAAAAAGTGCGGAACTGAAAAATCGAAAAAATAAAAAAACAAATATTGAAATATTTGAAAATTGAATAAGCGAAAATCGAAAAAATTAATAATTGAAGAAACGTAAAATGCAAAAATTTGCAAATTAAAAAAGTGAAAAATTGCCAGTCGCAAACGAAAAATTTAAAAATCAAGAAACTGAAAACTCAAGAAATTGAAAAATTGATAAAACGAAGCTTTAAAATATTTAAAAATTGGAAGACCGAAAGGTTGAAAAAATGAAAATCGAAAGCTGGAAATATTGAAATTCGAAAAACTGAAGAATTGAAAAGTCGAAAATTAAAAAATGCTAAACTGAGAAATCGAATAAATGAAATAATAACGAATAATTGAAGAAGCGAAAAATCGAAAAATTCAGTAGTTAGAATATAAAAATTTGCAAATCGAAAAATCGAAAAATTGTCAATCGAAAATTTAATCCATGAAACTTCGAAAAATTGAAAAAAATATTGGAAAATTAAAAATCGAGAAACAGAATAAAATCGGAAAATTTAATAATTTTAAAATTAATAAAACGAAAAAACTGAAACAGCGGAAAATCAAAAACTATAAATTTAAAGTCGAAAACTCGAAAAATTGTAAGTCTATAAAGTTTAAAGTGCGAAATAACTCATTTAGTTATAACAGATTTTTTTCTGCTTTTTAAATAGATCACCTGTACTTATCCCACGATCAGACCAAACTTAGTTCTAAATAAAATTTGTTTGAAACCAAAGTGGTTGACATTTATCGTAGTCATGTTTCAGATGGAGTCCTTCAAACCTTCAGACATTATTTACAGAATTTTTGAAATTTTAATGCGATTAATAAGTGTTTTCAGTTGAAGGAAGATAAGAAAAACATAAACAATGTTTCGGCACAAGAGGTTCTGACAACAGTGACATATATTACGACGCAAACAATACTAAGCGTCCCAGGAAACAATTTTCCTATCGGTTGGAATGTCGCATTGTTGTAACAGTTGAATTTAATGACAAGTTAATCCTACACAGAAAATGTTAGAAAAAGGAATATTTTTAGTGATAATATTATAATTAATATTAACTAAAAAATTCTCGTCCTTTAAAATTTACTGGCATACATGATGAAAAATTGAAATTTTGGGTACTAATTCAAGAGTTACCATATTCTCACTGGTTTTTTAGGCGCAATAAAAACTCATCAAAATTGACAACTGTGAATTTCCGCACTTTAATTTTGGTCTCAACTTTAGCTGCTATTTCTAGGTCTATTTTTTCTGTGACAGCTTTATGGTCGGATAAGCTTGCTCTGGCACCTCCGCTTGATAAATACTTTCAAGATTAGTCACAATGTTATGGATACAGTATTACGTCTTGTATTTTTATTAATTACATAACCAAAATTGTAGGAACTTAGTCCTGTAAACAGACTTCTTTCTACAAAAATATAAATTCATTTTATAATTACTTAAACACAAGTCGTTTATTTCTTCTTCATTTAAATAACGTTCAACCAAACATAGACCGCCATTTGCTTTGTTAATTGAATTTAAATTTAAGTCGGGTTCTATTAACTTACTCCTTACAGATTGGAATTTTAAGTGAAACACATTGGTCCAACTTGTGGATTTTGTTGTGAAAAAACCGAAATTTCTCCACTAATACATCCTTCGACCAAGTTTCTGGTTATTCTTTATTTTATATTCAAAATGCACGAATTTTTAAATTAAACATTTAACTGGAAAACAATATCATTTGCAAAACGAACAAACAAAAAAGGTTTCAACACTAAACCCTGCGGCATTCCAGTATCGACATAGAAGTCGCCAGAATTATAACCAAAACAATGTACAAACGGTTTCCTTTGACGCAACTATGACGTGAAGAGTTTAATAAGCCCAGGACAAAAACCGATATCACTGAGTTTATAAATTGAGACAGCAGAATTACGTCGTTTGACAACCGTCGTCTATGGAATCGGCAATAAACTGAGTAATGCCAAAAGGATTTGTGGTTGAATGTTTGCTATGCATCAAACCGTGTTGGTGGGGGTAATATAAAATATATGTTTAATCTGAGAATTAAGTTGGTCCTAAACTAAGAATTGGAATATTTTGGCAAAATTATTAATCATGGAAACAGGATAATGGCTTCTAGTATAGGAACGGTCTTCACTTGAGAGTAACTCACTTGAATCCTGATTTTGATTTTGTACCGTGGAGAGTCGCTTTCAGGTCAGGTGAAGCAGTTTTGCTTATCAACTTGAAGTCACGCCCCACCAGGGTTTGACGAAGTGCTTTCGGAAATATCTCCCTCACGTAAAAACGTAGCCATAAATTGGGTTTTAATCCTTAAAGGATTTTCGGTTTCTTTTTATTTTCGCCGACTTTATTAAGCGGCAATAAATTTTTACGCAAATTATGGTTGGATTTATTGATAGAACAAAGCTCGCAAGATCTGCAACTAATTATTTCCAAATACAGGAATTAAACAAAACAGGTGAAATTAAGGAGACCTATATAAATATAACACTCTGTTCATAACAACGGTGTTTGAGGTTAGTATTCTTTACACCAAGGAGTGCTTTGTGGAAGCAATATTGACTTGGTAGCTTGAGCAACACCGAAAAATGGGTGGTGTTTGTTTTTGGGTATTTGGGGTCCTTCTCGCAGGTAAGTAATTGTTAACTTGAAATTCAAAAGAAACAGCTGAAATTCCTTCTTTTTGTGATATAACATAAAACGTAAACTCGATACGGTTGTTTTGATGACTAAAACTACGAAACACAATAGACACAAATAATACTTGACAATGATAACAATCTCACGTGATTACATGAAATTTTACAAAACTTCCTGTTTACAGAATTTAAAAAAAAACACCCCTTTATGAGTACGAATATATTTTATAGGTGTACAAGCAGGCAAACGTACACTAAACGGTCGCCTTGTTGGTGGTCGACCAACCACCATCCAAGAACACCCTTTCCAAGTGTCCGTCATCTACATCGACACCCATCGCTGTGGCGGTTCCATTTTAAAGTCCAACTACGTATTAACAGCAGCTCATTGCACTAACAAGTAAGTTTACCGCAAAATCTAGTTCAACTTTCAACAAACCAACAACAGTGTTCCAGCCCATCATCTTTTCGTAAGAGCCGGATCGACGCTGGTGGACAAAGGCAAGCAGCTGATACAAGTGGAGAAATATTATCAGCACGAAAATTTTGACCCAAATACCTACGATTACGATATCTCGATTTTGAAGTTAGAAAAAGGGTTGAAGTTTGGCGATGGCGTAGCTGTTGCAGTTTTACCACCACAGAGTGAAGATGATATCCCTGGAGGTATCGTTGGGACGGTTACGGGGTGGGGAAGGTTGTCGCTCTATGGTATTCGACCCCTAGAACTGAATGAAGTGGACTTGCCAACACTTAGCCCTAGGGATTGTAGGCGGGAGTATAATGACACTGTAACAAAGAGGATGTTTTGTGCTGGGTATCTGAAAGGGGGAAAGGATGCTTGTCAGGTATAAGGTAACTGCGATTTGGTTTGTTTGTAATTTGGTGTTTTGAAGGGTGATTCTGGAGGTCCATTTGTTAGTGATGGTGTTCTAATTGGAGTCACGTCGTGGGGAGATGGATGTGGAGCTCCTGATAATCCTGGGGTTTATGCCAAAGTGTCGTATTTTAGAAAATACATTGATAATATTACCAATAGCTGAAGCTTGTGCACACCCGATTTTTATGGTTGTGTTTATGTTTACCATTTTGTGAAATAATTTGTTGCTATTAAAGATTTCATTATTTTATTGATATGTTATTAACATATTAATGATGCATTAGTCACATTTTAGTTGATTTTGATCATTTACTAACGCATCCTTGATTTTCTAACAATTACACAAGGAGTAAAGGTAAAGTTTACGAATTCCCGTGAATTATTGAAAACGAAAAATTGCAAAAAGTAAAAATCGAAATGTTGAAGAAAGGAAAAAACCAAAAATGTAAATTCAAAAGTTGAAACATCGAAAACTTGAAAAATTGTAAAATCAAAATATTAAACACACGAAAAAGTGAAAAATTTCGAAAGTTGGAAACCAAAAAATGGTAAAATTTTAAATTGGAAACTCGAAAAATTACAAATTGATAAATTGTAATACGGAAATATCGTAAAATCTAAATACTGCAATCGACAAATTACAAAAACTAAAAATCGAAAAATTTCCAAAATAAAAAATTAAAATATCTAAAAATTGAAAAGTCCAAAAATTCTAATACTGAGAACTGGATTTCGTAAAATTGAAGAATTGAAAAATCGGAAATTAAAAATTGCGGAACTAAAAATTGAAAAATTGAAAAAAACCAAAAATTGAAATACTTCAAAATTGAAGAAGCGAAAAATCGAAAAATTTAATAGTTGAAGATACGTAAAATATAAAAATTTGCAAATCGAAAAAGTAAAAAATTTGCAATCGAAAAGGAAATATTGAAATATCAAGAAACGGAAAACTTGATCAAACGAAACATTAAAATGTCTAAAAATAGAAAGACAAACAAATTGAAAAAATTAAAGTCAACACTCGAAAAATTGTAGAATAGAAAAAATGAAGAAACGAAAAATTTGCAAAAATTATAAACGCGTAAATTAAATATCAAAGTATGTAATGAAGAAACGAATCATTATTAATTAGAAATATTAAAAATCGAGAAACTGGAAAAATTAAAAAGATGAAAAAAGAAAAATTTAAAACCGAAAACTCGAAAAATTGTAGAATTTAAAAATTATAAAAACTAAATATTGAAAAATCGGAAGATTAAAGATTGATAAACTCTAAAATCAAAAAACGATAATACCATGAATTGCAATCAGTAACAATTGAAGTTTGACAAGTAGAAAAATTGTAAGACCGAAACGTCATAAAATCTAGAAACTGCAATTGACAAACTGCAGGAACGAAAAATCGAAAAATTGACAAAATAAAAAATTAAAATATCTAAATATGTATTGAAAAATCCAAAAATTGAAATTAGAAAAACTGGAGAATTGAAAAGTTGAAAACTAAGAAATCCGAAACTGGGAAACGAAAAAATGAAAAAAACGAAAAATTGAAGAAGCGAAAAATCGAAGAATTCAGTAGTTGACAACGTAAAATTAAAAAATTTGCAAATCGAAAAACCGAAAAATTGTCAATCGAAAATTTAGTGCATGAAACTACGAAAAACTGAAAAAAAAAATGGAAAATTAAAAATCGAGAAACAGAAAAAATCGGACAATTTAAAAATTAATTAAACGAGAAAACTGAAACAGCGAAAAATCTAAAAGTAAAAATTTAATGTCGAAAACTCGAAAAATAAAAAATTAAAATATCTAAATATTGAAAAATCCAAAAATTCTAAAAACTGAGAACTGGATTTCGAAAAATTGAAGAATTGAAAAATCAGAAAATTAAAAATTGCCGAACTAAAAGGTCGAAAAAAATTTAAAAAACCAAAATTGAAATACTTAACAATTGAAGAACCTAAAAATCGGAATATTTAATAGTTGAAGAAACGTAAAATATAAAAATTTGCAAATCGAAAAGTAAAAAATTTCCAATAGAAAACGAAAAATTGAAAAAGTAAGAAATTGAAAACTAGATCAAATGAAACACTATAATATCTAAAAAAAGAAAGACCAATAAATTGAAAAAACTAAAGTCGAAAACTCGGAATATTATAAAATACAAAAATTGAAGAAACGAAAATTTGCAAAAATTACAAACCCAAAAATTAAATATCGAAATATGTAATAAAGCAACAATAATTACAAATTAGAGATTTTAAAAATCGAAAAACTGGAAAATTAAAACGATGAAAAAAATTTAGAACCGAAAACTCGAAATTTTTTAAGATCTAAAATTTACAAAAAGAACGAAAAATCGAAAAATCATTAGATAAAATAGCGTCAATAACAAAAATTTGCAAATCAAAAAACTGAAAAAATACCAGTCGAAAACGAAAAATTGAAAAATCCAGAAAATGAAAATTCGTGAAACTGAAATATTGATAAAAGGAAACATTAAAATATCTAAAAATTGGAAGACCGAAAAATTGTAAAAAATAAAGTCGAAAATTCGAAATATTGTAAAATCGAAAAATTGAAGAAACGAAAAATTGCAAAAATTAAATACCGAAATATGTGATGAAGAAACAAATCATTAGAAATCAGAAAAATTAAAAAGCGAAAAATTGAATTTAAAAATTTATAAAAACTAAAAATTGAAAAATCGGAAGATTAGAGATTGAAAACTCAAAAATCCAAAAAACGATAATACGAAGAATTACAATCAATAACAATTGAAAATTGACGTATAGAAAAATTGTAAGACCGAAATATCGTAAAATCTAAAAATTGCAATCGACAAATTACAAAAACGAAAAATCGAAAAATTTGCAAAAAAAAACGAAAATTGAAGAAGCGAAAATTTGAAAAAATTACTAGTTGAAAAACGTAAAATATTAAAGTTTGCAAATCGAAAAGTATTTCGGTATTTAATTTTTTGATTTTTAATTTTTGCAATTTTTCGCTTCTTTCATTTTTTCGATTTTGTCCACCATAAATTTAAAAAACCAAAATTGAAATACTTAAAAATTGAAAAAGCGAAAAATGAACATATTTAATACTTGAAGAAACGTAAAATATAAAAATTTGCAAATCGAAAAGTAAAAAATTTCCAATCGAAAACGAAAAATTGAAAAACAAGAAATTGAAAACTTGATCAAATGAAACACTAGAAGGTCTAAAGAAAGAAAGACCAACAAATTGAAAAAACTGAAGTTGAAAAGTCGAAATATTATAAAATACAAAAATTGAAGAAACGAAAAATTTGCAAAAATTACAAACCCAAAAATTAACTATCGAAATATGTAATGAAGTAACAATAATTACAAATTAGAATGGAATATTAAAAACATGAAAAAAATTTAAAACCGAAAACTCGAAATTTTTTAAAATCTAAAATTTACAAAAAGAACGAAAAATCGAAAAATGGATTTCTAAAAATGCAAGATGAAAAATTTGAGAATAGAAAAATCGAAAAAAAAAAGTTCAAACCTGAGAAATCGAAAAAATTAAAAAAACAAAAATTGAAATATATACTTAAAGATTGAAGACGCAAACAATCGAAAAATTCAATAGTTGGAAAAACGTAAAATATAAAAATCTGCAATTCGAAAAACTGAAAAATCGACAGTTGAAAACGAAAACTTGAAAAATCAAGAAATTAAAACCTCAAGAAAAATTTAAAAACGAAACATATATTATCTAAAAATGGAAGTCCGAAAAATTGAAAAAACTGAAGTTGAAAACTTGAAATATTGTAAAATCGCGAAATTGAAGAAACGAAATATTGCAAAAAATCAAATATCGAAATATGTAATGAGGACATAAATCATTAGAAAGTAGAAAAATTAAAAATCTAAAAATCGGAAAAATTTAAAATATTAAAAAGAAAAATTTAAAACCGAAAACTCGATAAATTGTAAGATTTAAAATTTATAAAATCTAAAAATTGAAAAATCGGAATAAAAGATTGAAAAACTCAAAAATCGAAAAAACAAAAATACGAAGGAATACAATCAATAAAACTCAAAATCGACAAACTGCAGGAAGAAAAAATCGAAAAATTGGCAAAACGAAAAATTAAAATATCTAAATATTGAAAAATCCAAAACTTGAAATTCGAAAATTGAAGAATTGAAAAGTCGAAAATTAAAAATTGCGAAATTGAGAAATCGAAAAAATGAAAAAAAACAAAAATTGAAGAAGCGAAAATTTGAAAAATTCACTAGTTGAAAAACGTAAAATATAAAAATTTTCAAATCGAAAAATATTTCGGCATTTAATTTTTTGATTTTTAAGTTTTGCAATTTTTCGTTTTTTTCATTTTTTTGATTTCTCAGTTTCTGACACTTTTATTTTCCGATTTTTCAATTCTCCAATTTTTTCATCTTCGGTTTTAAAAATGTTTGCTTTTTTTGAAGATTGAGACTTTTTAAGTTTTCGTTTTGTCAATTTTACGATTTTTCGTCCCTTGTTATAAATTTTAGATCTTAGAATATTTCGTGTTTTGGGTTCTAAATTGTTCTATTTTCATCTTCTTAGTTTTCCAGTTTTTCAATTTTTAATAATTCTAATTTGTAATGATTCGTTACTTCATTACATATTTCGATATTTAATTTATGGTTTTGTAATTTTAATTTTTTTTATTTTTCAGTATTTCGAGTTTTCGACTTTAATTCTTTCAATTTGTTGGTTTTTCTATTTTTGGACATTTTAATGTTTCGTTTGATCAAGTTTTCAATTTCTCGATTTTTCAATTTTGAAGTATTTCAATTTTTCGTTTTTTTCATTATTTAGTCCTGCACTTTTAAATTTTCCGTATTTCAATTCTTCTATTTTTCGAAATCTAGTTCTCAGTTTTAGATTTTTTTGATTTTTCAATATTTAGACATTTTAATTTGTTATTTTTGGAAATTTTTCGATTTAACGTTCCTGCAATTTGGTGATTGCTATATTTATATTTTATGATATTTCGATGTTACAATTTTTCAGTTTGTAATTTTTCGAGTTTCCAATTTAAAATTTTCCAACTTTTTGATTTTTCAATTTTCGGAATTTTTCAGTTTTTCGTGTGTTTAATATTTTGAAGTTTTCGATGTTTCAACTTTTGAATTTTTCGATTTTATCGCTTCCTCGGTTTTGGGAAGTTTACATTTTTCGTTTTTTCTTCAGTTCTGGAATATTTCAATATTCAATATTTGAATTT